GTTTGAGGCCAAATCCCAACCATAGTGAGCCTACCTTTCAGCTATAGGAGGGACTCCTGGAAGAGAATTCTAGTACTCATAACAGCTGATAAATGCAATGAGTGCTTCCTACTTCTGTGTCCAGATCATGTGAGGCTATCCTCTTAGAATAATTAATAAGGCCTCACATAAAGTACTCAACATCATTTGTCAGTTTGCTGGGGTTCTTGCCAATCCAATAAGACAAGACTGTGGTTGGGATCGAAAGGTTCTGCTTCATAAAGCATTGGGGAAAATTTCAGGGTTCTCTAAGCAATCACAGTTGGGGGAACAGTCTTCCCTCAGTGACTATTTTACTTCTTGCGTAGATGATGCCATTCAAACTGGCAGGAGATGTGGCTTTCTCAATGAGTGTGCCCAAGTTACCTTGAAACACTCCATTGAGAAGAATTGCAGGAGGTGATTCCACAGGCTCAGCTTTGTCCTTCTCTGACATCCATTCAGAGAGTTGAAATCCATTGGCTTTTCAGGGTAATGGGTGACACTATCCACAAGTCCCCTACAAATCTTCAATGAGTTCACATTTCAAATCATTTGATAAATCAAAGTGACAAAGGTACCGTAAATTGCTGAGTTGGGAAGATGATTATGGAGAGTGAAAAAGACATTTTCATTTTCTTGCTGATGAGCAAAATAAGCAAATTTTGAAAAGGAAGTGGGACACTTCGTGAGGGGAACCTTCTCAGAAAGAGGGCTTGCAGTGGTATCTGTCTTGGCCAGTAATATACTGGTGGGAAAATGTTTCAAAACTATCCATACTGTGTACCCTAAAAACCTCTTATTGAAAACAAGAGACCTCCTGATTTGGTAATCCCTGACCCTGGAATACAAGCTGTCAATTTCACCTAAAGAAGTGAATCCAGTTTTCTGTAAGTGAAACTTGAACTTTGGTCCCCCATGGCTGTTCACCTTGATCTTTTCCCACAAAAGACCATTGGTAGAAACACAAGCTTAGGTGCTATTCTATTTGTTTGCAGAAACATCCTAAGTCTACTTTCAAGATGCTTCATTGAAAATGTGTTTCAAAGACTTGGTGAATGGTGGTGGGGGTGGGAGCAAGCAAACAAATAAAAAACCTTATCTGATCTGCAATTTAAGGTCACAATTTGGAAAATACAGTTGTGAGACCTAATTCAGGAAGGATGCTCTTTTTCAAGCTAATCAATACTAATTATAAAATAGGTGATAGCAGGCATTGTGAGGAACTAAAAAGCAGGGGGTGGGGGAAATGCTACTTCATAATTTAGTCACCCTTGATTGGAAAGTGGGCGTTGTAAGATTTTGCACCAAACCCCAGCGAGTCACTCTGTAGTGTGGGTTTCTCTCACATTGGGCTTTCAGTTTGAACACAGAAAGAGCAAGCCAAAAATAAGAGCCAACAGGGACGATTTTAAAAGGCCAGCCTGCACAAAAAGAGTTCTAGGCTCTTTTGCTGATGAAGATGGCATAATGAATATAAACTCTCAAAGCCAGAAGGGAAGAAAACACAGGGAGAGGGCTAGCTGTTGTTCTCAAATATTGTCCTTAGAGTAGTCTCTAAGATCCTGGGCAAAAGAAGGAGTGAGGGAGAGCACTAAAACCACTCTAAGACCAAGTCATAACATCACCATTGTGAAGTTTCTAGAACCAAGTCAGGGAAGTGTGTTCGGGGCTTAGAAAGGAGACCTAAGGCAGTGGTCTCAATCCTTCCAATATATTATAATCAGCTGGTGCGCTTTTAAAAACCTTGATGCCAGATAAGTTCTCCAAACAAATTAAATCATAATGTCTGGAAGTGAGCTCAGGAATAAGCAGTTTATTTATTAAATTTAATTAAGTAACTTCATTGATTGATTTACTTATAGTTGTTGGTATTTTTAAAAAATCCCCTAGGTAATTCCAATGTGCAGCCAAGGTTAAGAACCATGAATTAGAAAGCAATAAAGCATACCAGAAATGATAAAGGACCCTCATGTCTATATAGCCTTGTGTTTCTTCAAACGGTTCTTTCTCTTATAGCTAACATGCAATAATACATTAAGTATTAGTGCTAGTATTTTTCTTAATTTAATAAGACTACTGTAACAATATCATAGAGTAGGAGGCTTATAAACAAAATACATTTATTTCTCACAGTTCTGGATGCTGTGAAGCCCAAAATCAAAGTGTCAGCAGATTCATTGTCTGGTGAGGTGCTACTTCCTAGTTCATAGACAGCTACTTTCTCAAGGGTCTTCCCCTGGCAGAAGGCACAATTGAGCTCTCTGGGAACTCTTTTACTAGGGCACTAATTCCATTCATGAAGGCTGCACTCTTATGACCTAATAACCTTCCAAAAATCTCACATCCTAATATACCATCTTGAAGATTAGGTTTCATCATATGAATTTTTTGGCAGACAAGCATTCAGTCTTTGGCAATGTTAGTACATCATTTTAGCATTGAGATAAATATAGAGAAAACACCTAATCAAGGATTCAAATCTGGGCCTTGATGTAGACATTCTAAGTGAAGACCTTCTTAGAGATATGGGCTTCTGAGAGCTCATGGGATTTCCACTTGGTATGGTTGGCTTATAAGTTGCTACCAGGTGATCAAGATGGAGTTAAGATATGAGAGTCACGTAGGCAGGTATAGACTGATCAGAGCAAGACTTCTCTGAGATTCAAGGTTAAGATAAGGCAGAGAGATATACATATGGAAGCCCCAGTGATGAGATGGAACACTGGCATGGGCTCAAGGAAGGAGAGTTTTTCAATCTGCCCCACACTAGAATCCTTTATTCAACTTCAAGTGGTACCTCCCTTTTGCAGTTTTAGGAGAAGGATCTGCTATGTTCTGTGCTTCATATTAGGTCCTTCTTTATTTCATGCTTAGTGTGCTCTAGTCAAGGGTCATCTTCTTTGGTTGAGCTCAAAGTCTGGTGGCACCTTAAGATTTTCCTGTCTTGGGGATCTGTGTAATGGTGTGACCAGGCCATTTCTGCACATTTGAAGTCCTTGTCTACTCTGGCCCAGTTGCCTTCAGGGTCTCACTGTTTGTTAGGATAGCACCTAACAAAATGCTGTGTTGCAACTCTTCTGGGGCCTTTCATTCATGCAGTAGCACTTCATACAATGCATGATAAAATTTCAGATGGTGGTGAGAAATGAAGAAACCAGCTAAGTTGGGAAGAGTGTCTCAGTCTTCTGGGGAAGACAATTACAACAGGGCTGAAGGAGTACACAGGCCAAAAAATAAATGATAAGGGAAGAGTTTCTCAAGGATCACCCTAAGTAAAGTAGAGCTGGGAAAGAAATCCAAGACTGAGGAGACAGGGAAGGAAAAATAGGTTTCTGTTGGAGATAATGCATAAATTAGTGTGGCTAGGGGTAAATATGAGGCAGAGTCGGGTATGAGTTGCACATGAAGAAGTAAGCAGTGTTCAGATGATGAAGGACCCATGGACCATGATAGGGAGTTTTAACTTTATTTTATGAGCACTTTAGAGCAACTAAAGCAGTGTCTCTGGTTTTGGCTACACATTGGAATCACCTAGAGCGCTTTCAGAATACTGATGCCTGGACACCACCTCCAGAGATTCTGATTTAACTGGCTTGGGTACAGACTGGGCATCAGGATATTTGAAATCTATCCAAGTGTTTATTCTAGACAGCCAAGGTTGAGAGTCACTGCAGATCAATGATATTTTCAGGTGCCTGTTTTAGAAAGCTCACTCTGATAACAGACAGAGGCAAGAATAAGTTTGGAGGCTATTGCAATAGTTTAGGTGAGAAATGATGTAGAACTGTACAATAGCAGCAGTGATAGGACTAGAGAACAAGGAATGGTTTTCAGAGGTGTTTAGTATGTTAAATTGGCAACACTTGGGTCATTGATTAACTATGGACTGAGGGAAAGATGGAATCAAGAATGACTCTCAAAGAAAATTAAACCTTCATACATTGCTGTGAAGTTATAAAATGGTGCATTAACTTGGGAAAATAGTTTAGCAGTCATCTCTCATCTTGAAAATGCCTGTATTCTCCTTTGAAAGTGCATTACTTGCTTTACTCTTATAGGCCTCTTTCTTAATATCACCCTCATTCTTCCTTGGATATGTATCTACTTTCCCAAATAAACTACCTATGCCTTTGAAAAAAAGAACAGTTTAATGGTTCCTCACAAGTTTAAACCGATTTACCAAGTAACCCAGCAACTTCAATCCAAGTGTACACTCAAGGGAATTGAAAACGTATGACCACACAAAAACTTGACTGTAGATATTCACAGCAGCATTATTCATAATAGCCAAAAACTAGAAATAACCCAAATGCCTGTCAAATGATAAATGGATAAACAGAATGTGGTATGTTTATATAATGGAATTTTTCAGCCATAAAGAAATGAAGAAGGAGGGTATGGTGGTGCATGCTTCTAATTCCAGGGACATGGAAGATTGAGGCAAGAGGATCACAAATACAAAACCAGCCTTGATAGCTTAGTGAGACCTTGTCTCAAAATAAAAAATTAAAAGGGTTAGGGATGTGGCTCAGTGGCAAAGCATCCCTAGGTTTAATTTCAAGGACAAAAACAAGAGGAGGAGGAGGAGGAGGAGGAGGAGGAGGAGGGGGAAAAATGAAAAAGAAGAAGAGGAGGAGGAGTAAGAAAGGACTTTACATACTATAACATGGATGAACTTGTAAATATTAATGCTAAGTGAAAGAATCCAGTCACAAATCATTCCATAAAGTGTGATTATATTTATACTGAAATATCCAGAATAAGTAAATCCTACCAGACAGACAGAATGCACATTAGTTGTTTCTAGGGACTGGTGGAGGGATAGAGAAAGATTGCTAATGATAAGATGAATATTTTTGTAAGTGAAAAAGTGTTCTAAACCTGAGTTTGGGGGCCTCTTGGGAAACTAAGTGAATTTACTAAAAAGCACTAAATTGTACATGGTAAAAGGGTAACTATTATGGTATGTGAATTATGTCTCAATAAAACATGGAATTTATTTCCAAGTTCTTATCTTGCTTGGCTGAGTTAATGATGTTGTCATTAAACGATTCAGAAAATGCAGGAGTAGGAACATACTTGGCAGGGACTGATGATTGAGGGGCCTCTGGGAACTGGGGGCCAGTAGACAGGTGGATGATGAGTCTGGAGTCTAAAGAGAGGTCTTGAGAACAGACAGAGATTTTGGAGCCATCAATGTAGCGATAGATGGCCATTGATGTTAATGGAAAGGATGTGATCACTTGGGAGAAGGGTATAGTGTGTGAGGATAGTAGGCCAAAGAAAGATCCCTGGGGAACACTAACATTTAAGGGGTGATAAAGAAAGAAGAGCTCACAAAGGAGTTAAAAGAGAACATATCAGGAATATTTAAGGAGAAGCAGCAAAGGAGGAGAAGGAGATTTTTACAGGATCCCAGAATGCTGTGACAGAGAGAAGATCCAATTTATTTTTTAAATTTTATTTGTTCTAAACATGTATACATGACAGTAGAATGCATTTTGACACATTGTACACAAATGGAGCACAATGTCTCATTCATCTGGCTGTAGAGAAGGTCCAATTTAAATACTATTATAGGGCCGGGGATGTGGCTCAAGCGGTAGCGCGCTCGCCTGGCATGCGTGCGGCCCGGGTTCGATCCTCAGCACCACATACCAACAAAGATGTTGTGTCCGCCAAGAACTAAAAAATAAATATTAAAAATTCTCTTTCTCTCTAAAAAAATAAATAAATACTATTATATAATTAAATCTCTGCCCACATTCCCAGTACAAGTCCACACTGACCCTGTTTTGAAGATATTGGTAAGATGAATTTTGTTCAATGATAAATCCTCTATGACAGACTCTTAAAAGTCTGGACCCTCTGACAGTTTTCTTCTGCCTTTTGTCCCTTCCGAGGCAAAGATCAGCTCTCCAGGGCAGAATGACTTCCTCCACTCTCTCTAGCCCCATTACTTCTGTACTCTAGGAGACAAGAAGAAGGGGTTCTGTCCCTGGAGGACTGAAAAATGAATGGACTCTACATAAAAAGCCAAAGGGTTTTTCCTGTTCACCAAGGAAGAGTAACCAATCAGATGGGACTTCTGCAGCACTCAGTGCCTTCCTTAAATTTACAGCACACTTCCTCTTCACACTTGCCCATAGTTGTTCTGCCTCATGGGTTGACAGTGACGTTAAAGCTGACATTTATTTATTGTATTGATGTTATGACTGGTATAGACTTTTACTCCTCAAAATAAACTTACAAGTTAAGTACTGTTAATTCTTCCCATTTAAAGATCAGGAAAATGAGTCACAGGAAAGTTAAGTAATTTGTCTGATGCTAGACAATGGCAGGGCTTGGGTTTGGACCCAGGCATCTTGACTCTAGGAACACTTGATCTTAACTGTTATCCTATTGACCTCTCAGTAAGCAGACAAAGCAATGTAGTATGACATAGAGGGAGAGAACTGTTAAGTCACACGAAGTCCATGCCTCTGTAATCTTGAAACTAGCTGTGTTCCATTTGGCAACTTATGCAACCTTTCCTGGGTCTCAGTTTCCTAATCTATAACATGAAGCTATTAATATTAATCTGCCCCACAAACCTCTCAGTTATTTTTTTGGGATGATCAAATGAGATGTGTACCAAGTGGACAGTTAAAATGATGAAGCTCTGTACTTGTTTTCCCAGAATCTCACTTGGCAGTTGACATGGAGTAGGAACTCAGTACAGTTGCCCCTCCATATCACTGGGTTCTGTACCCTCAAATTCAACCAACTCTAGATGAAAAATATTTGGGAAAAATTGCAAACATGCTGAATACATACAGACTTTTTCCCAATAATTATTCTATATATAATACAGTATAACAACTATTTACATAGCACACATCATATTGGGTATTATAAGTAATCTAGAGATGAGTAAAGTATACAGAGGATTACATTGGTTCTATGCAAATGTTCCATCTTTTTATATAAGGGTCTTAAGCATCCTCAGATTTTTGTATTCACAGAGGGTTCTGGAATCAATCCCCTGTGGATACCAAGGGACAAATGTACTGTTGATTGAGACAGTACATGGATGCTTTTCCATTTTCTCTTTCAATACTCTATAGCAATTCTTTGACAATTTATCTTCCACATTAGACTGAGCTTTCCAAGGATAAGGACCAGGTCTTGTCATCTCTGTCTTCACAGCACCTAGCTCAGAACTTGGCACTAAAAGAGCACTCAATAAATAGTACTATGTAGTGGTAGTGATAATGAAAGCCACAGTAGTAGGACAAGCCCAGCCACAGCACTTTGAATGAGCCACTTTCTTGGCAACTACAGCAATGGCCTGCGACCAGCAGAGAGCAGCAGAGACCCCAAGCATAAACCTGCCTGTAAACAAGCCCCTTTCTTCTCTGAACATTGCACAGCAAGTGGCCTATCTCTAAAGGGATGGAAATTGAGCGTGGTTTGACTAAAATGTGCTTCCTCAACACTTAAGCAATTTGCAAATTTCAGACCAAAACTAGGGCAACAGGAGCTATTTGAGTCACTAAGATCATTCTCAATGTTAACTAACCTACAGCATCCATGAGGTCTGAAACTGTCCTGGGAAGGACAGTATAAAGGGTGGTCACTACTTCCTGTATAAGGAGTTAAATGCAACTGACAAAGGGGCTTATTGAATGTTGAAAGAATTCCTGGTAAAAGCTAGTGACTTCTGCTTTTTTTTCCCCAACAGTGATTGCAAAGGTTCCATAAAGAACTGTCCAGCTACATATTATTTTGATGTTCTACAGCTTGGTAAAGAGCCAAATGAAAGCTCCATATCTCTGGGCCAGGAGTCATTAAATGGATTGAATGGATGGCAATTATTTTAGCTACCAGTGGGAACAAGGGCCTAGCATACTGGTCAAGTGGCCTGTTTACTTCTACTAACTGATGGGCCAACTTTATTATTTTTTCCATTAAACACCAAAGTGCGGTTGGAACTAATGGCCTTTTAAGGGAAGGCAAAAGCTTTTTTATTTATTTATATTATTCTTTGACTGTTACAGATTTCTACCTTAATACCCCTTAATTACTCCGCAGCAATCAAGTATAGGGATTGAGAGTATGGGCTTTGGAGTCAGACAAAATCAGTCTTGAATCTCAGCTCTACAACTAACTGGCTGTATGGGCTGGACCAATTACCAAACCATCCCAACCTTTCATTTACTTATCTGTAAAACAGCACACTGATTCTTATATTATTATAATGGTTATTGCAAAGGCTTGATGAGATGAGGCATCTCGAGCACTTAGCCTGGAGCCTGGTCCATGATGAACGCTCAGCAAAGAGTAGCCTTTCTTACTCAAACATTGTAAAAATTCTAAACACGCACAGTTATGAATTCACTTTAAGGAGAGTTAATGGCAATGATAAGATTTTTTAAATAAGTCTTGATAAAGAAATGAGGTACATAGAGATGAGGCAATTGTCCAAAGTCAGAAAGGGACTGGAGATGCACATTAAGCCTTCATTTGTCCAAGTCCCAACATTAACCACAAGAAAATTAAGGCTCCTCCTGACAACTTTGTTCTTTTTTTTTTTTTTTTTTTGGTACTGGGGATTGCACTCAGGGGCACTCAACCACTGAGCCACATCCCCAGCCCTATTTAGTATTTTATTTAGAGACAGGGTCTCACTCAGTTGCTTAGTGACTCACCATTGATTCGGTTGGCTTTGAACTCATGATCCTCCTACTTTAGCCTCCTGAGCTACTGGGATTACAGGCATGTGCCCCTGTGCCCAGCCCACAATTTTGGTTTTGAGAAGCAATCTACTCTTCCCCTCCAGCTTTAGGTCTCTCTCAGAGCCCTGGTGTCAGGAAGTGTCCTGACACCCCCCTACCTTCTGCTTTGAAGGTCTGTCCATGGTCCCACTCCTCTAACGGAGTCTTGCTCTCCAGAAGCTGAGTTATTTGCCTGTGGTCACACAGTTGGTTGAGCAAGGAGACTAGAGAAATAATGTTAAAACCATTATTCCTTAAAGTCAAACTTGTACTTCTGGAACACACAGTAAAATTAATATAGTATGCATTAAGTTATTCATAAACATGGTGTTACAGATGCAGTGATAGTCAGGAGAGGATTCAGATTGTAGTCTAGTAGGAAAGACAGACAAGGAAATGGTCAGCTGGGATGAACATTCTATAACTGCTTCTGGGACATGGTGTCGGGGTAACAGGAAGAGCCCAGGGAACTATGGGAGCTCAGAAGAGGAAAACTAATTCAGCTTTGGTGTGTGGAGAAGTAGGATCTATAAAGTTCTTTTTCTTCTCTTAGCTAAGCATAATATCAATTTATTAGTGGCATAAATGCTATCTTCACTTATTTATTTATTGAACAAAAATTTGCTGAACTAGGACACCATGGTAGAAATGATAGAAAACAGACATGCAGGGCTGGGGCTGGGGTTCAGCGGTAGAGTGCTCACCTGGCACATGTGGGGCCCTGGGTTGGATCCTCAGCACCACATAAAAATAATAAATAAAATAAAGGTATTGTGTCCATCTACAACTAAAAAAATACATTTAAAAAAGAAAGAAAACAGACATGCTTCATACATGGGTATTGCCCTTGTGAAATCTGGCTCTTTCCTTTAGGAAGTGGGAGAGAGTGATCCTTTTCAATGTGTTCAGAATTACAAACTCCATTATCTTCAGGTAACAGGTAACAATGAGGCTGAGTAATTCAATGGTTGAGTTTTTTTCTGCCTGATTAATATATGCATTAAATATTTGTTATTTTTGTGTCATGAAGTATGTTGATTTATGAACAGGATAATGTTCCTGAATTTCTGGAACCTCCTGCATGGTTATATGTTATGGGATTAGCTAATGGAATATTTTTATACTTATATAGGGACCTTTTTAAAAAATTTTTTAGTTGTCAATGGACCTTTATTTTATTTATACGCAATGCTAAGAATTAAACCCAGTGCCTCAGATATCCTAGGCAAGCACTATACCACTGAGCTACAACCCCAGTCCACTATATATGAATCTTTATTTATTAGAGCATTATATTTATATGCAGTACTTGGGTTTATTTTGACAAAATCACACATACAAGGAATTTGATTTCATTCCTTTCCTCCTCCCTCACCCTATTCTCCCTCATCTACTCTACTGACCTTTCCTTCACTCCTTTATTTATTTTTTATTGGTACTTTCTACATATACATAAAGGCAAAATTTCCTGTGGTATATTTATATATGTACATAACATGATTTTGTTAAATCAATTCTGCATTCCCTCCACTTTCCCTTCATTCTTTCCTCCCTCCCTCTCAATTCCTTCTGCTCCACTGATCTTACTAATATTTTTATGATATCTGATCCCCTCCTCTGCTGCCTTCTTTCCCTTGTTTTGCTGTAGCTTCCACATAGGGGAGAAAACATTCAACTCTGAGTCTGGCTTATTTCACCTAGCATGATTTTCTTCACTTCCATCCACTTACCAGCAAATGCCATTATTTCATTCTTTATGACTAAGTAAAATTCCATTGAGTATGTACACCACATTTTGTTGATCCATTCATCTATTGATGGGCATCTGGGTTGATTCTATAAATTGGCTATTGTGAATTGTGTTGCTATAAACATTGAAGTGACTGTATTACTACAGTATCCTGATTTTAGTTCATGTAGATGAATACCAAGGAGTAGGACAACTGGGTCATATGGTGCTTCTACCCCTTGTTTGTTGAGGAATTTCCACACTGATTTCCACAGTGATTATGCTAATTTGCAATTCCACCAACAATGTGTGAGTATACCTTTTTTGCCCACATCCTTACTGGCATTTATTATTATTCATGTTCTTGATAATTGCCATTCTGACTGGAGGGAGATGAAATTTCAGTGTAGTTTTGATTTACATCAGGGGATTGCTAGAGATGTTGAAAATTTTTCATATATGGGTTGGTCATTGGTGTTTCTTCTTTTGAGAAATTTCTATTAAGTTCTTTTGCCCATTTATTGATTGGGTTATTTGGTTTTTATTTTGGTGTTGAGTTTTTTTGAGTTCTTCATGTATTCTGGATACTAATCCACTATCAGGGGAGTAGCTGGCAAAGATTTTTTTTCATTCCATAAGCTCGTTCTTCATTCTTAATATTTTACTTTGCTGTGCAGAAGCTTTTTAATTGGATGGCATTCCACTTATGATGCTTGGTTATATTTCTTGAGATTCAAGTGTCTTGTGGAGGAAGTAAGTTCCTGAACCTATATGATGGAGTGTTGACCTTCTGTTTTCTTCTAGCAGTTGCAAGGTTTTGGTCTAACTCCTAAGTCTTTGAACCATTTTGGTTTGATTTTTGTGCAAGGTGAGAGAGGGATCTAATTTCATTCTTCTACATATAGATATCCAGTTTTCCCTGCACCATTTGTTAAAAGGCTGTCTTTTCTCCAATATATATTTTTGGCACATTTGTGAAGTATCATTTGGCTGGAAGTATGTGGATTTTTCTCTGTCTTCTATTCTATCCTATTGGTCTTGGTATCTACTTTGATGACAATACCATACTGGTTTTGCTACGTATTATACCTCTGTACTATAATTTAAGATAAGGTATTGTGATGTTTCCTGAATTATTATTATTATTATTATTATTAAGAATTGCTTTGTGGGCTGGAGTTGTAGCTCAAAGGTAGAGTGCTTACTTTGCGCATGTGAGGCACTGGGTTTGAGTCTCAGCACTACTTATAAATAAGAAAATAAAATAAAGGTTCAACTTAAAAAAAATTTTAAAAAGAATTGGCTATCTGGGTCTCTTATTCTTCCAAATTAATTTAAAAACAGTTTTTTCTAGTTCTGTGAAGAATGTCATTGTTATTTTGATGACGATTGCACTGAATCTGTATATTGCTTTCAGCAGTGTGGCCATTTTGACATTATTAATTCTGCCTATCTAAGAATATGTGAAGTCCTCCTCAATTTTTTTCTTCAAAGTCCTATAGTTTTAATTGCAGAGGTTTTTTGTTTGTTTGTTTGTTTTTTGCCTCCTTGGTTAGATTAACTATCAGGCATTTTATTTTATTTTATTTCATTGAGGTTATTGTGAAAGGGATGTTTTCCTGATTTCTTTCTCAACTGAATCACTGTTGGAGTATAGAAAAGCTACCGATTTTTGAGTGTTGATCTTGTATCCTGTTGCTTTGCTGAACTCATTTGTCAACTCTAGAATTCTCCTGGTGGAATGTTTTGGGTCTTCTAGTATTGTTTCATGTCATCAACAATCAGAGATAGTTGCTAATGGAATTTTGAAGACTGAGTATCCTTCAGCTTTTGAGGATGAAATCAAACTCAATGTCAATGATGCAAGCAAACATGTTAATACTGGAATTTTCTCTACGTGTCAAGGTACAGAGTGATTAGAACATGAAAAATTGTTTTTCCAGAGATCTGAAATATTTTCAGCTGTGTTTCTGGGTAAATAATGAGGAAATGTTCAAATGGTGTGCTTATTATACATTCCAGAATATTGTATCATGGCCCTGCTTGAATATAGTTTCCTATACTCTTTTATTGGTTTGGGGAAGCATCACTACTTCCATCTATGTTTCCATTTACTTGTTCTCATGTTCATCTTTTACCATCTCTGTCCAGATCTTTCTAAGTGCCTCCTGAATGTTTCATCCTGGAACTTCCAACCATGCATTTTCTCATATCTTTGCATCTATAATAGAAACCTGGGTTTATGAAACTTAAAGATCAGAAAATAGTCATGATTCTGATTTTCCAATGAAATACAACGGTGCTCCCAGCTAGGTCTTCATGGGTCACTTGGGGAAAAATGACAATTGGCTCAAACAGTGACTGATTCTATTCTGGGTAGATATTGGCCTTCCTGCTTGGTGAGTTATCTAGAAACTGCTCAGAAGAACTGCTCCAAGTCCTGTTGGAATTTAACCCTTTGCTAATAAATTTAATAGGACATAGGTATTCACTCCTCTATCTAGAGAGAAATCTACAAAGCTTTTCAGCATCAAAAGGTGAATTAGTCAGCCTTCATTTGTTGTGACAAAGTACCTGACATAAAGAATTTAAAAGAAGGGGGAAAGGTTCATTTTGGCTCACAGTTTCAGGGATTTCAGTCTATGGTGATTTGACTTCATTGTTTTTTGGCCTGTGAAAAAGACAGATCATCATGGCATGGAGCATGTGGTAGAACAAAGCTGCTTACTTCATGGCAGCCAGGAAAGGGATCGGGAATAGGGGTCCCAATGTCCCTTTCAAGGGCATACTCCCAATGATCTAACTTCTTTTAACTATGCCCCACCTCCTAAAGGTTCTATCACTTCCCAGTAATGGCACAGGCTGGCAACCAAGACTTTGTCATAATGGGCCTTTGAGGACATTCCAGATCCAATGACAGCAGAAGGCTTTAATGACCACCTCCTGAGAAGGGCTGCACTAAATCACAGTTTTCAGCTCCAGGTCAAGGAACTATTTCAATTTCAATTCTCTCAGCTAGTCTTGAATTCTCTCATTCATTCTCTGGACAAGCTGAAGAATATCCTTTCAAATTGGAAGACTTCAGTAATTCAGTCTTCATTGACTGAGATTACCTCTCTATTTTGGCTCTTTGCAGCTACAGTAGAGTGGAAAGCATGTTGACTTTTAAGTCAATTCAACCAGGGGCTAGAGTTGAGACTGCACTACTTCCTAGCTGTGTGATGTTACACAAGTAATTTAGCCTCAATCTCTCATTAGGAAAATGAAAACAATAATAGCTCCTAACTAACAAGGTTATTGTGAAGGCTAATGAAATAATGCATGCAAAGTAATATGGTATGACCAATTGTTCCAGTTTGCCTGGGAATGGGTTTTTCTGGGACATGAGACCTTAACTGCTAAAATCAGGGCAGTCAAGGGAAACCAGGATTGTTGGTTACTGCAGATGAATGTGACAAAGATGTTCCCCTTTCTCTTTGTTACCAGTAAGATAGT